TGGGGAACTTGGGGTACCTGCCCCCAGGTTTTCGAGGATTTCGGGGTACCTGCCCCCAGGTTTTTGATGATTTTGGGGAACTTGGGGTACCTGCCTCCAGGTTTTTGATGATTCCGGTGTACCTGCCTCCAGGTTTCTGAGGATTTCGGAAGGTTTTGATGATTCTGTGCTACCTGCCCCAGGTTTTTGATGATTTTGGGGCACTTGGGGTACCTGCCCCCAGGTTTTCGAGGATTTTGGGAGGTTTTGATGATTTTGGGGTACCTGCCCCCAGGTTTTTGATGATTTTGGTGTACTTTGGGGTACCTGCCCCCAGGTTTTTGATGATTCTGTGCTACCTGCCCCAGGTTTTTGATGATTTTGGGGTACTTTGGGGTACCTGCCCCCAGGTTTTCGAGGATTTTGGGGTACCTGCCCCAGGTTTTCGAGGATTTCGGTGTACCTGCCCCCAGGTTTTCGAGGATTTCGGGAGGTTTTGATGATTCTGTGCTACCTGCCCCAGGTTTTTGATGATTTTGGTGTACTTTGGGGTACCTGCCCCCAGGTTTTGATGATTCCGGTGTACCTGCCCCAGGTTTTTGATGATTTTGGGGAACTTTGGGGTACCTGCCCCCAGGTTTTCGAGCATTCCGGGGCGCCGTGCCGTACCTGCGTCCAGCGTTTTGACGATCTGCGGCGCGCGCTCGATGTCCAGCAGCAGGTTGTCGAACCAGCCGTGCTCCCACAGGTAGAGGAAGACGCTCAGGCGGTTCCGCAGCGCCGCCTGAGCCTCCTGCTGCCGCTTCCCCGCCTCGTCCGGGTGGTACTTGGAGCGAAACCTGCGCGGGTTTTGGGGGAAAAACACGGGAAAACGGGGCTGGGCTCCGGGCGCCGCTCCCCACCGCCGCGGTGCTGGAGGGGAGCCCCAAATTTGGGGTTTTTTTGGGTTTTTGGGGACGGAGGGGGAGCCCTGTTTGGAGAGTTTGGGAAATGGGGTGGGGGGTGGGTCCCAAATTTATCCCGAATTTGGGGAGCCCCGAATTTTCTGTAATTGGGAGCGGGGAGGTCCTAACTGCGGTTTTTGGGGAGGGAGGGGAAGATTTGGTGGGACACAAACGGGGATGGGGAGGTCAAAATCCGTAAATTGGGGAGGGGGACGCCCCAAATTTATGGGGGAACCACGAATTTGGTCAAATTGGGGTGGGGGAATCCTCGTTTTTTTACAAACAGGACCCCTCAGCATCCCCTAAAACGGGGGCAGATCGGAGCCCCCGCAGAGGGGGTTTGGGTTTTGGGGCATTTTGGGCGTTTTGAGGCGTTCTCGGGGTGTTTTTGGGGGGGTTTTGGTGCTTTTTGGGGCTGTTCCACGCTGCTTTCAGGGCTGTTTTGGGAAAGGTTTTCAGAGATTTTTTGGGATGTCTGCTGGGATCTTTGGGAAGCTTTTTGGCTCTCGGGAACGTCTCAGGCGGGATTTTTGTGGGATTTCGGTTTTGAGCCTCCTCTGAGAGCAATTTTGGGGCGTTTCGAGACATTTTTGTTATTTTTAATTTTTTTTAGGAGCGCTGTTTCCATTTTTGGGGGCGGTTTTAGACACGAATTAAACGCGTGGGTGGAAAACACCCACGAGCTGGTTTGTGGCTTTTTTTAGGTACATTTTGGGGTGCTTTTACACCATTTTGGGGCTCTTTTCAGAGCGTTTTTGGGGCGTTTTGCCGCGTTTTTGGTGCGGTTCGGGGGGCGCTTGTTCTGAGCCATTTTTGGGTGGTTTTGGGACGGTTCTGAACCATTTCTGGGGTTTTTTAAGGGATTTCTGGATGGTTTTGGGGCGGTTCTGAGCCATTTTTGGGTGGTTTTGGGGCGGTTCTGAACCATTTCTGGGGTTTTTTAAGGGATTTCTGGATGGTTTTGGGGCGGTTCTGAACCATTTTTGGGTGGTTTTGGGCCGGTTCTGAACCATTTCTGGCGTTTTTTAAGGGATTTCTGGGTGGTTTTGGGCCAGTTCTGAGCCATTTTTGGGTGGTTTTGGGGCGGTTCTGGACCATTTCAGGTATTTTTGGGTGGTTTTGGGGCGGTTCTGAGCCATTTCTGGGGTTTTTTAAGGGATTTCTGGGTGGTTTTGGGGCAGTTCTGAGCCATTTTTGGGGTTTTTAAGGGATTTCTGGGTGGTTTTGGGGCGGTTCTGAGCTCTCTGAGGGGTTTTTGGGCAGTTTTGGGGCGTTTCTGAGCCGTTTCAGGTATTTCTGGGTGGTTTTGGGACGGTTCTGAGCCATTTCTGGGGTTTTTTAAGGGATTTTTGGGTGGTTTTGGGGCAGTTCTGAACCATTTCTGGGGATTTTTAAGGGATTTCTGGATGGTTTTGGGCAGTTCTGAGCCATTTCTGGGGTTTTTTAAGGGATTTCTGGATGGTTTTGGGCAGTTCTGAGCCATTTCTGGATTTTTTAAGGGATTTCTGGATGGTTTTGGGCAGTTCTGAACCATTTCTGGGGTTTTTTAAGGGATTTCTGGGTGGTTTTGGGGCGGTTCTGAGCCATTTTTGGGGTTTTTTAAGGGATTTCTGGGTGGTTTTGGGGCGGTTCTGAACCATGTCTGGGGATTTTAAGGGATTTCTGGATGGTTTTGGGGCAGTTCTGAGCCATTTCTGGGGTTTTTTAAGGGATTTCTGGATGGTTTTGGGGCGGTTCTGAACCATTTTTGGGTGGTTTTGGGCCGGTTCTGGACCAATTCAGGTATTTCTGGATGGTTTTGGGGCAGTTCTGAGCCATTTTTGGGGTTTTTTAAGGGATTTCTGGGTGGTTTTGGGGCAGTTCTGAGCCATTTTTGGGTGGTTTTGGTTCTGAGCTCTCTGAGGGGTTTTTGGGCAGTTTTGGGGCGTTTCTGAACCGTTTCAGGTATTTCTGGGTAGTTTTGGGGCATTTCTGAACCATTTCTGGGGTTTTTTAAGGGATTTCTGGGTGGTTTTGGGGCGGTTCTGAGCCATTTCTGGGGATTTTAAGGGATTTCTGGATGGTTTTGGGGCAGTTCTGAGCCATTTTTGGGTGGTTTTGGGCCGGTTCTGGACCAATTCAGGTATTTCTGGGTGGTTTTGGGGCGGTTCTGAGCCATTTTTGGGTGGTTTTGGGCTGGTTCTGAGCCATTTTTGGGGATTTTAAGGGATTTCTGGGTGGTTTTGGGGCGGTTCTGAGCCATTTCTGGGTGGTTTTGGGGCGGTTCTGAGCCATTTCTGGATGGTTTTGGGGCAGTTCTGAGCTCTCTGAGGGGTTTTGGGGCAGTTCTGGGGCGTTTCTGAGCCGTTTCCAGGTGTTCCAGGTGTCCCGTGGGGGGTTCAGGGTCATACCTACACTCGCCGCGAGCGTCGCCGTCCGCCGGGCCCCGACAACTGCGGCGGTTTTAAAACCCCGTCCCCGCCGCTTTTTTTGTTTTTTTGGTTTTTTTGGCTTTTTTTGGGTTTTTTTTTGGCACAGAACCCCCCAAAAATAAAACAACAAAGGTCCCTGGCTGCTTCCTGCACTGTGACCTCGCCGCATTGTGCGCGGCCCCGCCCTCTCTGCCTGCCCCGCCCGGCGGCTCCGCGGCTCCCGAGGGCGCTGGGGGAGAAGGGAAGCGTTAAAGCTGCAGAGAGCCCCAAAATCCACCCCGAATCCACCCAAAATTCACCCCAGATCCGGCCCCGAGGGGCTGCGAGACAACAGAAATGGTAAAGCTGCAGAGAGCCCCAAAATCCACCCCGAATCCACCCAAAATTCACCCCAGATCCGGCCCCAGAGGGCTGCGAGACAACAGAAATGGTAAAGCTGCAGAGAGCCCCAAAATCCACCCCGAATCCACCCAAAATTCACCCCAGATCCGGCCCCAGAGGGGTGCGAGACAACGGAAATGGTAAAGCTGCTGAAACCCCGAAAATACGCCCAAAATTCTCCCAAAATCACCCAAAATTCACCCCAAAATCCAGCCCCGAGGGGCTGCGAGACAATGGAAATGTTAAAGCTGCAGAGAGCCCCAAAATCCACCCCGAATCCACCCAAAATTCACCCCAAATCCGGCCCCAGAGGGGTGCGAAACAACGGAAATGGTAAAGCTGCTGAAACCCCGAAAATCCGCCCAAAATCCACCCAAAATCCACCCCAAAATCTGGCCCCAGAGGGGTGCGAGACAATGGAAATGGTAAAGCTGCTGAAACCCCGAAAATACGCCCAAAATCCACCCAAAATCACCCAAAATCCACCCCAAATCCGGCCCCAGGGGGCTGCGAAACAATGGAAATGGTAAAGCTGCAGGAACCCCGAAAATCCGCCCAAAATTCACCCTAAATTCACCCAAAATCACCCAAAATTCACCCAAAATCTGGCCCTGAGGGTGCTGGGAGAAAATGGAAATATTAAACCTGCAGAAACCCCCAAAATCCGTCCCCGAGGGTGCTGGGAGAAAATGGTAATGATAAACTGTCAAAGACCCCAAAATTCACCCAAAATCCGGCCCCAGGGGGGTGCGAGACAACGGAAATGTTAAAGCTGCAGAAACCACCAAAATTCACCCAAAATCCCCCAAAATTCACCCAAAATCCGGCCCTGGGGGAGCGTGAGACAATTTTCTCACCGACACCCCCATTATTTTTGGAAAAAAAGCCCCATTTTTTTAAAAACAGCCATTTTTGTACCAAAACCCCCATTTTCTCACCAGCACCCCCATATTTTTGGGGAAAAACCCCATTTTTCTTCAAAAACCCCATTTTTTCTACCAGCACCCCCATCTTTTTTGGGAAAAACCCCATTTAACAGAAAAAATGCCATTGTCTCACCAATCCCTCGTATTTCTTGGGAAAAAAACCCCATTTTTTTTAAAAAACCACATTTTTTCTACCAACACCGCCATATTTTTTGGGAAACCTCCCCATATTTTCAGGAAAAAAACCCCATTTTATTGTAAAAACCCCATTTTTTAAAAAAAAAAACACATTTTTTTTAAAAAAAAACCCAGATTTTTTGGAAAAACCCCCATTTTCTCACCAGCACCCCATATTTTTGGGGAAAAAACCCCATTTTTCTTTAAAAACCCCATTTATTCTACCAGCACCCCCATCTTTTCTGGGAAAAACCCCTTTAAAAAAAAAAAAAACCATTTCTTCTACCAAAATTCCCATATTTTTTGTAAAAACTCCGTTTTTTTTGTAAAAACCCCATATTTTCAGGAAAAAACCCATATTTTTTGTTAAAAGCCACATTTTTTCTACCAACACCCCCATATTTTTTGCAAAAAAATCCCATTTGTTTTGTAAAAACTCCCGTATGTTTTTAAAAACCCCCATACTTTGGAAAAACACCCAACTTTTTAAAAAAACTCCCACATTTTCAGAAAAAAACCCCGATTTTTTTGTAAAAATCCCCATTTTTCTTACCAAAACCCCAATTTTTTCCCGAAAACCCCTTTTTTTAAGTCTCTTTTTTTTTTTCCAAAAACCCCATTTTTTTTCTGAAAACCCCCATTTTTCGTACCAAAACCCCC